ATAAAGAGCCAGATAAAAACAATACATAGTTCAATCTTGGCACATCTCATTGATAGCGGTCATGCAGTAGATAAATCGAAATCTTTTCGAGTTATCTATCGTATACCTCCATCATTTCCCGACGGAGTCCGTTCCCGTCTCCTATATATAGCTGAAGCCATTGGAATTCGTACATATAACCCCAATTTATGTGTACAGAAGAAATACGTGACCCCCCTATCCCTTCCATGGCCAGTTATAACTTAACTAACAATCCTTTTTTATTTATTTATTTTATTTTATTATTATCATTATTTACTTTATTCTATTTGTGTTATCATTAACCTTATTTCCACATCCATTATTTGTTTGTAATTTTCCGCCTCTTTGTATTCTTCACTATCTAATTATTTACACACATCTTATTACGTAATGATTTTAATGTTTTGTGATTACTATTCCTAGTCTATTTACCCATGTTTATTTGACCTTCTATTCCTAACGATTAACTATTGAAAAATGAAGAATATTTGAGCGAACAATTGTTTTCAATAACTTCATCATCAGGCTCTACAGTTATAAGTCCATAATTATAATATTTCAATATGTGAAATTTCTAAAATCTCCACAAAACCCATTCTGATATTGATAAGAGTTTTCTTATTGTATTTTATTATTCTCACTATTATCAGTTCACCTGTCTTCCTACTATCAACTTGTACTTTTACCTAGAGACTTATTTTATTTCATTGTGATTATTGACTCATATTGCCTTGATTGGTTTAACATTTTCGTATAAATATTGATGTATATTAGAGTAAAGCCTGATGACGATCTAATTGAAAACAATTGTTCGCTTATATGTGTTGTTCTGATTTTCACAATGGGAATCTTTAATGTAATTAAAATTTATAATGTATGTGATTAATTCCCTTGATAATTAACTGTGAAAGGTACCATCTACAGAGCATTTACATAAGTATGTAATGAAGTGATACGAATAATTAGTAAATGTTTACAAAATATAATAATTGTGTCACTATTCCAGTTGATAAACATTGAACATACTAACTGGATATCAAAACACTTCATTTAACTCACAATATTCATATGTCTACGAAGACGAATCAAAACTTTCATCAATTATATTTACAAGAGAATAATCTAAATACTTGATATTAATGTTAGCAAAAATCATACTCACCGCAATAGCTGGAGGTTATCTTGACTCAGTAGTTCAGCGATTAATGTATTAGAGTTTGAGATATGTTGTAGAATAAACCACTAACCATAATTCATCTGTTTCTTTGACTTAGATAACCAGCTTCATTATAAATGAATAATAATGCTACAATTTTGTGCTGGTTAACAAAATATGTGGAAGATACATCACTTTTATTCTCTTTTATTACTCCAAGGAAAAAGTATGTATACACATTCATATGTATTCTGGTGACTACTTAATAATAAGTCATGTTCAGCAAAATGATTATTCACCAAGTTAGGTTTATCGAATTTACATATGATTCAAAATTACTTTTTACCAACCATTTCTAGTTTACTTTCAAGTGATTAGTGACTGTATATATTTCATTCGATTATAAATGATGTAACAAGACTAACATTAAATAACAGGTGATACCTCTTGATGAGTATAATAAATAGTGTCTTAAGAGAGGTGTTATTTGTATTCTAGCTCATCATCGTTCAGCTTGATGAATGTGAACATGAAAAGAAATATAAATCAAAACTGTACTTAAGATTGAATTGTTAAGTTTTCTAGCAGTTTGATTTAAAAAATATAGTTTATTTTTCAAAACACAATGATAAATCACTTTCGTCCATACTATTCTCAATGAAGTATTTTTTCACAGATTGAAATCATGAGTCAGTTGAAGCTAGACCACCATTGAAAACCTGGAAGCACTGGACGGCCGTTTCGTCCTAGTATGGGACTCCTCAGCAGTGCGCATCCACGATCCCGCACCACCCGGGGCTCGAACCCAGGACCTACTGGCTTCGCGCGCGAGCACTTAACCATTAGACCACTGAGCCGGCATCCAACGGTGTTAATGTCTAACTTCAACCAATCCACGAAGTTGCGCTACCGTACACCATTGTCCTCAGTGAGTTCCTATCTCACAACAGACCTGGTTGAACTCCACTGGTAACGACTTCTCACTAGAAGTATTTTTTGTTGAAAACAGTCGGCTTTGCATAAAATGTATATAGCAGTGGCTTATGGTTAATTATTACGACTTTCTGTCATCAAGTTACAAGTATAAAACACACTTCACCTACTCGAGAAATCGGGTAGCATCATTTTCTCTCTCACAGTTTGACTTTAAGTCAATTTCTCAACTCATTTATCTGGTAAATCAGTTGAATACACATTATGAACATTAAAAATGTTATTAGAAAAGTTGAATTCCAACTATTTCCTGATAAACTGAAATTAAAAACTGGATCAAGCAAATTATCAAAGTTTATTTTATATATATTAAATCATACTTAATACTATTATGATAATTAGAGAAACGTTCCTCCTAATTAACTAATTATTATCATTATTATTTGAATTACTATTTGTCATCGTTTTAGTTCCAAAAATTAGTTAATCAAATAATGAAATGATCAACAACTACTGACTTCATTTATCAGGCTGATCAAACTGATAGTTCATTTATTCAATCAACATTTTAAATGATATTTAATTAAAAGCAAAGATGGATAGAGGTTAGCAATGGAATCCAGAACGCGCGTTTCGTCTTAATTGGGACACGTCAACTGGCTGAACCTGCACCTCAGAGTTTGTCTTTAGTTTTGGACTCGAACCCAGTACCGTTTACTTCAAATACCATCGCGTTATCCACTTAGCTACAGAGTAAACATCAACTCTGAGGTGCACGTACATCCTGATGACGATTCCCAAATAGAACAAAACGCGGGTCCTGGATTCCACTGCTAACCACTATCCATCTTTGCATATAATGCTTGTGAGTTAATGTGATATCAAGGCAATACGCACAATATGCATATATTTTAATAAAAGACTGGTCAATCGCAGTCTTATACATCAATGGGAAGATTCAAGTAAAACAATACCAAATGGATATTTAATTAAGTATAAAAATAAACAAAATCCATTGAATATTATCATTTGAAGAAAAATTCTTATTTATATCTGAAGTATTTAATTATAATACAATTAGATCTAAGATTGTTTATTTTGCAACTAGCAATTAAGTAAATATAAAAATTAATTGTGTTGAAATTTAAAAATAAATAAATAAATAAATAATAATAATAATAATAATGTTTCTTTTGTTTATCTAATGTTTATCAATAAAATTTATTGATTTATGCTCTTCAATTAAATATTGATTGATATATAATGTTATTGTTGTTTACTAATACACAAGAACAAAATGTATCCAAGTGAATGATCGTTATTAATAATTAATTTATCAAACTCGACAGTTACAAATCTGAACTTGTGTGTCATGTTATAATCGTCTAAAATAAGGGGAAAAGAAATAATAATGAAATTGAATAAATTAATGTTATAATTAGAAAATGATAAATTTCTGGTTGATTCAATTTTAAATACTACAAATTATGAACAAAATAAAACAAGATTTTATAAGTAGTAATGTTCAGGACAGGTTTGGAAAAATAAGATACTTTCAAAGCGATAATTTTTAGTTAATAAATTAAAATAGTATATATATAAATTAATATAAAATAGGAATTGTTGTGTTGTGGTTGAGATACAAATAATAATAACAATAATAATAATTATCAGTAGGAGTTGGTGGAGATTTTAGAAACTTCACTAGTTGAAGATAGACCACCATAGAAAACATGGAGGCACTAGACGGCCGTTTCGTCCTGGTATGAGACTCTTCAGCATTGCGCATCCACGAATCCACACCCCGCGGGATTCGAACACGGGACATACCAGTCTCGCATCAAGCGCTTAACCAACTAGATCACTGAGCCGGCGTCTAATAGTGTTAATGTCTAACTTCAACCAATCCACAAAGTTGCGCCATTGTATACCATTGTCTTCACTGAGTCAATATCTCACAACAGACCTGGTTGAACTCCACTGGTAACGGCTTCTAACCAGAACTCCAGGAGTATCTCTTGAAGTCAGTTAAGCGCTTGGCGCGAGACTGATAGGTCCTGTGTTCTAATCTCGCGGAGTGCAGGATCGTGTATGCGAACTGGTGAGGGGTCTCACACTAAGACGAAAAGGCTATCCAGTGCTTTCAGGTTTTCCATGGTGGTCTAGCGTCAATCGACTCATGATCTCAACTATTAAAATTACTATGATATCTACAAAAACCCCTTCTGATAAAATTATGTGCCTATTTAAATGAGGAAACCCAACGGTGTTTTTTAAATTAAAAAGACATTTTACAGTTTTTTCCAGTCAAGTGATTATGCGCTATCAAGGATATATAATGAGTACAAATAGATAGAAGACAAAGAAATCAACGTATTTAAAGATATTTAATTAAATATTGAATAAATTTACTCACATTTTGTGCACATCCGAGGGTAAACAGATTGATTACCATAGGAACATGTGTGAGCTTACTCTGTTTAGATGAATAAATCATTTGCTCAATGTATCTTCCTGTCTGTATTACACAAGCTAGGAGATATTGAAACACTGTATTCTTGTGAGGTTAAATCGAAATATTGAAATTTATTTCAACGGTGAGCGTTACACATTTAAATGCGTGAAATTGTTGTGCTCTTCATCATGGCCACAAATGAAGCTTACTAATCAGTTTCAATAAACATTTAGCAGTTTGCCGACAAAAACCATTCACTAAATTTTAGCAGTCTTGAAATCTGTTTAAAATACTAATTCAGTTATTCCACTGCGTTTTACTCATGTAATCTAAATTTGTTAATTACTCTTAATTACATAACCCACTTTTACAGTCAAGATAGATATTTTGTTGATGTTTTTACTCACAAACAATTTTTCCTCTTTTCATACACAGACATGGATGGTTATTTACCCTGAAGGTACTAGATTCAATCCATGGAAGCATGATGTGATTCAAGCTTCGCAAAAATTCGCGGTTGAAAAAGGTAAACGTGACTGCCATCTTGTAAAATAACATCATATTTCACTTTTGAATCTTTAAAACTTTATTATAAAGAATTTTATAAACATAATCTTAGGGTACTAAATTTTCCTAAATTCTTTTACCTCATGTGATGACATCAAGGTGTACTTTAAACCTTAATGAAATTAATATTTTTTTAACGTTTTAAACTTTTATTACTCAATATTACTCAAAGATATTATAGACAAGCTATTCATAACATTGGTTCATTACTTAGTTTAAGATTTAGAAAAGATAATTTCACTTTGTGAGGTTTCTTTTCATTTCATAAAACCTGCGTGTTTGTATGTATCACAGACTAATCACATTTTTTGCACCACCGAATACCAGCGAATAATGGGCAAATGTTTCGTTGTAATATATAGGAAAGAAGATATTCTGGTTTCTCTGTCTAGATTTCTCTAGTTTTCAGTAGCACCGTCAACTGAGACCACTTTTTGACAAACACGATCTATAAATTAAACTAGTTCTCAAAATTTGAAAAATTTCCATATTGTGATTTAGAACAACATATATAAGCGAACAATATTGTTTTCCATTGTATCGTCATCAGGCTTTACTTCAATATACAGTAATATTTATATGCATATATGAAATTATTAAACTAATAAAGGCAGTTTATGAGACAATGATAATAGTGGAATAGATTACATAAATAAGTGAAAAGTACAAATTGGTGGTGTGATGACAGGTGTACTAGTTGTAATAAGAATAATAAAGGCCTAAATCAAATGTTATTATTCTTATTACAACTAGTACACCTGTCATCACACCACCAATTTGTACTTTTCACTTATTTATGTAATCTATTCCACTATTATCATTGTCTCATAAACTGCCTTTATTAGTTTAATAATTTCATATATGCATATAAATATTACTGTATATTGAAGTAAAGCCTGATGACGATACAATCGAAAACAATATTGTTCACTAATATGTGTTGTTCCGATCCAATCTTCACAAGAAATCTCCAACCTAAGTATAATCAAGTGCTGTACGTCAAGGCTGTCAACTTTCTCCATTTTTGTTTAACTCCATCATAGACTTACTGATTGAAATAACGTTCTCATCGACTGAATTCTCGGGCATTCATCTCCTACCAAGAGGTCCACTTACCGACCTAGAATACGCAGATGATATAGTCCTCTTTGATGAAGACGCTGATAAAATGCAGTCTTTTGGTAGCACTAAGCAACAATGCCAGAATGTCCGGGATGCGATTCCTCCTCTAAATGCAAGTTGTTGCTTCAGGACTGGTCTGCGTCAACACCTGAACTAAGATAGGGAGTGAAGTAATTGATCACAATGGCGTTGGTGTATGTACTCTCTGTCTTTCCTTAAACTATGAGAATAAAATCGCTTAATATCTTTCTTTCTACGTACTAATTCTTTCTTCACGTACTGTATCCTTTTACGCAATCTTTCATTTATATATTACCATCATTGAATTAACTATTTCTATGGATCCGGTGTTCATCTTGCTGTGCTAATGTGATATGGTAATTTGGACCGATGCATATATGTGCCTGGTCCTACGTTTTAGCTGACTGACTGACTGAACCTAAATATAATACTTCGTTCAATTAAAAATGATTTTTGTCAATTGAAGTATCATAGAAGACCTGGTAGTTTTTATCCTCGATTATAAATCTGCTATAGTTTATCCACTTTTGACTTCATATTCAAAAATACTTCAAAAATATGAAATTCTTCGACGACTATGACATAAATTACACATTCAATCATTGTCCATTAATTGACATTCATTAATTTCTATTAAATTGTCTGCTATGATATGTACATCATCTAATGTGGTTGATAGATAACTGTCAACAATGAACTCAATTATTCTATTCACAAAACCAACAACTCACTTGAATTCTCATTCTACATTAGTATACTATTAGAGAGTAATATGAAAATTAAGAAAATGTTCAATTAAATTGGTTTTTATTTAAATTAATAACTGTGGATACTTCATAGACATCCATTTTATGTTATATATATATATATATATATATATATATATATATATATATATATATATATATATATAATGATTTATTGAAATAGATATTATTATCACATTAATCATTATTATTATTATCATTAATTGTAATGACGTATAATTTATTGATATTTTGTTGTTATGAAGCTGCTTTGATTAATTTCTAACAATAATGATCATTGCATTATTGTAATTACAATTGTTTAAATATCAAAGTCTCATTTATTTGTTATTTACTGAAACGCCTTTGTTGTTTATTCTATAAATCATTATTTTATTAAGTTAACTTATTACTATAGATAAATAACTTATATGTGAATATGGTTGTTATGGAATTCAACATGTTTCATTTTTACTAAGTCGATGATAATAGACATTGGAGAAATAGATTTTATAATATATGAAAATTCAAAAATTATATTAAATAATAAATGGGTTTACTTATTATAATTCCATCATGATTTATTAACACATCAATGATATTAATAAGTTGTTCCAAGATGGATTGTTGAAGCTTTCATCAATTACAATTTATTTAGTGTATATATGATATGCTTAGAATACTCAGATGATATAGTCGTGCTTGGTGAAGACGCTAATAAAATTCAGAGTCTTTTGGTAGCACTGAACAACAATGCCAAGATGTTTTGGATGAGTTTCTCCCCATTTAATTATATAATTTTGCTTTGGGACAGGTCTGCGTCAACACACTAACTAAGGATATGAATTGACGTAGTCGAACGCGACGACAAATCCATTTATCTTGTAAGTTTGATCAGCCATAATGTTTTGGTGTCTGTACGGCTTCAGAAACCTCGTCCGGTTATTGCAGATTTACGTCACTTATGGAGAAGGCGAGATATCCGTCTATCAATTAAGGTTTAGTTATACTGCGCTGCAGTTTGTTCTCTTTTACTACGTAGCGTTGCCACTAAAAGTAGAGGATACTCGTAATTTACAAGTACATATTCACAAATGTCTTAGAAATATTGCTTCCATCTGCTGGAATCACCGGGTAAGTAATGGAGAGGTTAGACGCAGGGTATTAGGGAATGATAGTAAATCAGTTGGTGAAGATGTGAATCTACATCAACTGAAATGGTTGGGCCAAATAATACGCACGCTCAACCACCAGTTATCACGACGCGCAATCCTGACCAGTGCTGGAGATGGATGGAAGAAAGCTAGAGGTGGACAAACCAAAATGTGCCATCAGTCATTCAAGTTACTAACTCCTGGTCTGAAACACGTTCGTAGATGCAGATTACTTGGTAAGGGTTCGCGTGACTGTCGTAACCAGTGGTTGAGGACTCTGGGTGACGTGGCTGAGAATCGATCACAGTGTCGTATGTGTATACACTCCTTGTGTTATCTTAAATTGTGAGACTAAAATTACTTTACACCTTTCTTCCTGTACTACATCTTTATACACAATCTTTCTTTTATATGTTACAATCATTGAAGTAACTACTTCTATGAATTTGGTGTTTATCTTGTTGTGCTAACTTGGACCGACGTATATATGTGCCTGATCCCACGTTGTAGTTGAGCAATTGACTGTTATGCACTGCAAACTAATTTAATTATTTACATCCTAATTATAATAATGATCTTTAGGTGTCTGAATGTAACCACAGTCAATAAATAATTTTATTTATGTATATAGGGAAAAAAGAGATGGTTATTTCATGCAGTTGATTGAATAAATTAATTCATCAACCCTTTGTCAATCAGCTACTCAGTCAATTAATGTTCAGTAATCTAATCAATATTACTTTACTGGTCTATGACGTACATTTAATGAACAAATGTTTTTGATCACTGTTTTGAATATACAATAAAATATTTTTGCTTTGTGACAAACTGGTCTCGAGATTACTCGATTTCCCCAAAAATCCTAGTCTTTTTGATAATACTTTTTTCCAGATGCATTTTTGTATGATGTTAGTCCTTATCTGGTTGGGTGCCACTAATATTAGTCCGTTTATTTTGTGTGGATTTGAAATTCATTGTTTCATCGCTACCTAAACAAAGTTGTATCATTTGATGTTGTTCCACTTGAGTATTAAATCTTTCATACAATTCGTCTTTCCCTTGTGTTAAAGGCTAATTGTTGAAATATTTTGCACCAGCAGTCTTTATTGGGTTAGCAATAGAATCGTTAATACCAACATAGATTGACCGCTCTTTGATTTGGAACTAACGTAGATCTACTGTGAGCCCCAATACGCTATGTACGGACAACTCATTAACATCTTCCTAGTCCAAATGAAAAATCTTATTATGCAAAGTTAACGTTTTTGGCACACATCAAAAGAGAACAAGAACGTAGTAGGGCCTCCGGCAAGCATTAATTTTGATCCTGACAGCGAAACAAGAAGAACGAAAGTTAAGTATTTGAATTATTCCAAAATGGTTCAAAAATCCAGAAACTTTCTTCATTAAACACAATAACATTATCAGTGAATGAAAATACATTGAATTCAAATTTTCTAAAGTATTTGTTTCTTTTTTTCGTTCTGAAGTACTTAGGTCTATATGATAATTGCAAACCGTTAAACTTTATACGGTAATCAATATTCCTTATCTTTATGACGACCTGATGCTCACCGATTAATTTCATTGCGCTTGCTTCTTGATGTTACGGTACGATTCCATGTCTTTGTTAACATACGATACGGCTGGCCTAAACACTCAGTTGCACTGATCCTAGTGAATTCGATGGTTAGCCTCAGTTTAATTTTTCTTATTTCGTGATTTTATTACAATATCGACTCGTATAATATAAATGTCTCCTATTGATCGAATTGTCATTAAAAATATTCCACATCTAGGTTTTATTATCCATATATTACAGTTTATTAAATTTATGCTATTTAAAGAATAAAAGTGTTTACAAATTCATAAACATATGTTCATTTAAGTGTTCAGGTTTTATTTTCGTGCTGAATGAAATCAGCTACTTCGACTTAAAGTAGAAGTAAGCAGAGTAGTACCATTTAAAATAAAACGTAAAATTACTTTTCGTGATCAGGGATTAAACGTCATAATGTTAAGCGCATCAAATGGTCGATTCTCTTGGCGTGGATTTTATGTGACAATCGATTCAAACCCTGTGCTGCATGAACTTGTTAACTAGATTCATGATAGAATCCCTTCAGGATTTTTGTATAAAATTCACCCATTCAGATGGATATAATACATTTTTGCTTTATAACTGTTATCGGTTTACGATGAGGCTTTTAATCCAAAATCTAGCCAAGAACAAAGTTAAGACTCGTAAAAATATATATGTCTTGTTATATGGGTTTGAGAAGAAGGGTAATCTATATGCATATGAGAGAATTTATATGTCGCTGATTTTTCGTATTATAGGCAAAGTAACCCGTAGAAGACCTAAATAGATTCATGAAGAATCTGTTTACACTTTCTAGTATTGTCATTTTTGTTTACGAAAATTATCCAATTACAAAATTTGTCTTCTAAGTAGCTAAGAAATCGCTGAAAATTCGTAGTGGTTACTTTAAATTCGTTCATATACTATAAGCACTAACCAATCAAAAATACCTCATGAAGATGTGAAACCATTATGTACGTCATTAACGATTTGTATTATCCTACTTTGAGAACGAAGGATATTCTTAGCCAGACACAATTTCAATCAAAATTTAAATTACATTAATTTGATCTCATAGCTAGCAGTTTAGCTAACTTTATTTTTTTTTAAAATTTTCGTTACGTATTTAAAGGAATATATATTAAGGCTTATCTGTGTAATTCAACGTCTAATTCCTAAAATGTTTGCTTGAAACGAATAAAACAAACATTATCTGCTCAATATGAGTTGATTATGCATTAAATCACATTCAGTCTTGCTTTCATATTTAAAAAAATGTAACACTTAATTATTTAAGTAAATACATCTTGTGTGTTATTTCATTAGTCAATTTACACAAACTTTTTATTTGATTCTACACGTAGATAGATCCATCAATAAAATACTGATAAGTCTACAACACTTCAATGTATAAAATTAATTTAACATAATTAATTTTCTATATTCATCACCTTGATTTAGTTTATTCTAATGTTTAATCATTGAATAATAACTTCGTAGCTAACAAGAACTCAGGTAGGGACAACCAATTTATTATTTCGTACAAAATTGCAAAATATGAGAACCATACATGAAATGCTTCATTTGCAAAACTTCCATCAATTGTCCTTTACTTTCTGTCTAATTCTTTCAATTCACAATCCCTTTCTATTTACTTCAATTCGATCTTTTTAGTCTTCTGCTTCCAGCCATTCTACATACTACAGACATACGTAGCATACACCACAACTCCTTTAGTGATTACCACGTTTTATCAGTCAAGTTAGTCTGGCTACTACTAGTCTAAACGAATAGAAAACGCTCGCACTATATAGTAACGTAGGTTGGTGGTTGAAAACAATCATGGAGAAGTAGAGTACTTGGTTAGCGCTTACCAAAAAAGTATACCATTAGTTTTCCAGGAATGATTAATATAAGTATAACTTAAATCATTGGCAACATCAGTTTATCAAGATAGTTAGATTTTGATAATAAGTGGACATTTATACTAAGCCTAAGTTTATGGTTTCTAGTCAAACGAAAACAACCGTCGATTTGTTCTATTTTTATTCAACAGTTTATTAATTTGGAATTAAATGCACCACAAAGAGAATACTTTTAAAGCAATTATTAACTGTTTACTACCTGTGTTTTCCTTGCACCCATAAAATTGGTTATATTCATGATGACTTTTGTTTGTGTGAGAGCCTTAGAATAACATACAACACTTGACGCTAGTGGTATTTACAACAACATAACCAATCGTCAAATATTCCAATTCTTTTAAATCATTTTTCTAGTGTGTTTAATATCATTATATATTACTGTATATTATTATAAAGTTAAATAAATATAAGTCGAATATGTATGCAACATATAACATCCATATTGCTTACTAGTATATCTACTAGATAAGTAGTTTTATCTGCAATCAATGGTATATATATATATATATATATATATATATATATATATCCTCTCAACTATCATATCTTTCTTCTCTGTTCGTCACTTGATCACATTTTTAGGGGATACTTGATTATCAGTGTTTCCTGATTCTGAAGTATCCAGAGTATGTTCAAGATCATGCTTACTGAAGTAATATTTAAATCATAAATGATAACAGAATTCTACTGATCGGAGAACGATATGAGTATATTACTTCAGAAGTACTCGATTCGTATTCGCAAATAAGATAATATGTTGACTTATAACAATGCTCGAATCTTACACGTCATTACATTCATGACAAATTTTAAATTTATAACAACACAAACATTTAAAAAAACGAGAGCTTTTTAAATATAATGACGTTTCTATGTGCATCATTGATTGCCTTTCCAGACTTCAGTGAGAAGTGAGCTTTCCACATTTCTCCACAAATTGTTGTTCAAACCGTGATTTACAAGTCATAGGTTTTGAACATATACCAAAACAAATGCAGAAATAAGTAAAAGCAAGTGGCCCAGTAACAGCGAATGACAAATATCATCCCAAGCTCATCGCTTAACGCATAGTTGAGACAGATCAATGATTCATCTTCTCTCGGCCACATCGATTCTATAAAATAGGTCTCTACAGTAAATATTCACGTTTTTCGAAGCCTTAGACATACGAAATTTAAAACTCCCTTAAGTTATCAAAAACCGTTGCACACTGAAACTATCCTGAAGATATTGATTTACTATACAGCGCGGTGAATTTCATATTTTTTTCCATGGTATCTTCATTTTTCATTCATCTTTCATTTTATGTAATTTACCTTTGCTTTCATGTATAACCTTAACAAGTTAATGTGTGATCAAATCGCTCGATAAATATTATGCCAGTATATCACGTAGTTTAATAATCTTAGCTTTTTCATTGTATTATATAAACTTACCCGCAGGATAGAATGTTTGAAACATATTTCATTCTTCCATTTTGTTAATTATCAACAATCTCTTGTCATAGTATGTAATATCCGATTGTTACTCCTTATACTTTCTATTTTTATCAAATGCTTATCATAAGTTTTATTTATACTAAATGCCAAACTTATGTAGACATTCTACGCAAGAATTTTCCAGCAAGTCATTTTCTAAATATCGTTTCAAGTTGATCTTATGCAACTCTTAGATTAGGTTACAAAAAAAACCCTTCAATAGTATATGTTATTAATGTTCCTTTCATTCACCAAGTTATCTGGCTTATTTTTAGTCCGTATATACTTTTAATCTTATAACTTGCCGCAGTACATTAGCTTTACAACCATAATATATCCATTAGTTGACAATTTAAAGATGTTACACATATATGCATAAAATTATTTACCCAGTAGCGAGTTCGTAAAATAAATTCATTTGATGTGTTGTTTACTAATTAAATTGTATATTTACATCCTAAAGGCCAATTATTTTTAAGGTATACCTACCGACAAAGAAATTTAGTCTCTTAAGTAACAACAACACTATGAACTGAATATTTATAATTCAAATAATGTACATAGTTTCATAATGCTCAAAATTTTCGTTGTAACGATATACTTTACATTGTTTTTTTTCAAGTGCAGTGAAAAATGATGCTCAGGTTATTCATTATTATTTATATTGTTCATTTTCAAAAGCTGGTATTAAACCGTTCAAGCATGTTTTGGTGCCAAGAAGAAGAGGTATTCAGTTGATATTAAATCAGATGCATGATTGTCTTGATGCTTTATACGATGTGACAACTGTATTCGCTGATGAAAATGGTTATCCATATGATCATTCGATACCTGCACCAGGTTTGGGAGGTAAGATTTGATAATATGCTAACTAACAAAATTATGAGAATATTAAGATTTTTTTATGAGTGGTTAATATTTTACGCCTCAATAAATAGACTTCATATCTATTCAGAATAGGCAGATCGTGGATAGGAGTGAAAATCTGGATGCATGTTTCGTGGTACTTGAGACTCCTCAAGAAGATTTAATGATCTTTCAGTGTTGATAAGCCCAGAACCCAATACTTTTCACTTTACTAGATAGTACATGAGAGTTTGAAGCAAATACCACGGAGCTGAAGTTTTAGTTAGAATACCATTACTATAACATAAGTAAATCTGGCTGATAAATTCTAGTTTGGATGAAACATGCATCATCGATTCCACTGCTAAGCGCAACTGTTTTACTCTAAAGAAATTGTGAAATAACGATTATATCGAAGCGATCTACACAGGACGCACGTATCACAACAAAATATGACGAAAATTTAGTTAAGAATAATAATAAGGGGGTAATTCAAACTCCGACTAAAAATGATGTCATTTCCTAACTTGTTTAGTTCCAAATAATACATTCGATTATTTGCCATAGTTTTGTGAATCAGGAGTTTTGCACATTCCCCATCATTCATTTTTGTCAAATATCCGTTCTCTTTTTACTTTCTTTCACATCACTAACACCTCTCCGGAAATGTCTGTTTTACAGCTTCATTCACATACTTTGTAAATATGCTTAGATGTTTGTTGTATATTCTTTTTGCTTACTTTATAGAATGATTAGATTTAATAGTTCAACAATCGTTGTTCATCATTCAGATTACGCTTCACAGTCAGAGACCTTATCAATTAGTTTTCCTTATCATATCTTCGATCATCACCAAGAAGTAATTGACATATATGACACTGGTCATTACTCAGTGATCGACCAATTGTAAAATTTCAGAATTATCATGTGTTTTTATACGTTATGTGATTTTAAGAGTGAAAAGAGATGGAAACCTGTAACGTGCTAGTTAAAAGCCGAATGGTTTAACCATTAAACCATTTATATGAATCGACCACCTATCTTAAAAAGTTACATTAGCTGGTGTGGAAATAGGTTGCAAGAAATATAGTGGTGACAAAGTCACTGACTGCTTGCTTGTGCCGTGTTCTTAAATACAAATTACCTGGTTTTAGTTTGCATGTTAACAGTAATCACTAATTAAAGAATTGGATAACAGCCAAAACTAAATCATAATAGACTAGACTAATCTATTCTTTAATGCTCGCTATTCCTTCATATATATCTTTTCCTTATGTTCTTCTGTTATAACTTGTTGTTTGAATGCTTATTGTCTTGGCTCTTTTAATGCCACTTTTTGTATCTGGTCACTGCTGATTGTTATGTTGGAAACGCTTGTCATTTATACTCGGAACGAGGGACCTCTGCGATTCCCACAACGCGAAAGTAAGAACACAAAGACAGGTATAAGTGGAGATTTATTAACCCCAAAACAAGACGACGAACTTAGTCAAAAAATACACTCATTTATATATTGTTTCATACACCTATTTTTGACTAACAATTAGAATAAAATCACATATATGAAAAATACTTAGAGTAATAAAAGATCACATACTGAGCATAGTTCATCTCAATGGAATACAAGAATATCGTATATTATACAGAATAAAATATCATACGAGAAAACAAATCAAATGCTACACTGAATGATCATCACATTGACTCAGAACGAAAGTAATTTTGAACAAAACCCATAATGTGTAAATCAATCGAAAATTGACTTTTCTTTCCATCATATCACTTTCCTAATCATATCCTCGATGACAACATTTGACTGTGGCATGCTCTATATTGTGTCTTTATGTCCGGCTTTCTATCACGTGATTTATCCGCCAATCGATATACGACTTATACAATCTTAGCACTGTGCCAAACCAATGACGTTCGACCGGTACGAGAAGCCTAGCGTCCTTATTAGTCCTATATCCGCCTAGCCCGTCCAGCTGAGTTCGGAACACCAATAGCAGCTTCCGCTATGCGAATCATTTATTTCAAACATACTGTGTTTATATATTAAACAAACAGACCGCAACGCACCATAAAATAGGAAATAACATTTGTACACAAAATAAAGCCAAAATATGGCTGTGAACGTGGGAGACGGTAGTTTGTAAACTGAACATAATTTAGGAACAGCAAAGCGTATGATAATAATTTATAAGTCAAAATGAAGCATACACAATCTAATTACTGAATAGTTATACCATAAGGATATATAGATCATGTTAGTCCATTATTAGGTTTCAGAAATTACTCGTGATTTAATCTTTATTCGGATATAACACTCTAAGCTCATTATGACAGTATAACGTCTCTCGTTTCCTTTTGTACAATCTTTTAATATTTTGTAGATAACATAGTATTTTACTTTTAAAACAAAACCATACGCTTATAATTGTATATTTATTATCAAATTCTTTTCAATCATCGATCTGACGCCAGTCAGAACATTTAGAAAAAACCCTTTAGATTTTATATTGTGATCAGCTATCACAGGATCTTTTTTACATCAATGGCTCATTAATATTTAATGAGGTAAATTGTTCTTATGACAGATCAATAATTGTCATAAACAAGATCTATTTCTTCAAATATATATCTGTATACATGTAACTGAATATTTTATGGTATATGAATATTAACCATTTCAACTTTGACATTTATTTACATTAAAACAAGAAATTCTCTTATTCAAAATTAATTAGATTCTATCATATCATTATTATTAAAATCATTAATTTAATTTTTTTTTAATATTCTACACAAATTATAAACATGAATAAACCTGTTGTTTAACGAAACAAAAAAAGATTAAATTTAAGTTTATATTAGAGTAATATTCCTTCTTCAATTTGATACTGTTTGTTCTGGTAAATACTACTTATAATAAAAGTAATAATATAGATTATCTATTCATAAATAATAGAAGAATGAAAACTAGAATTAACATTTCTGAATACTATCAGGAGGAGATTTGTGGAGATTTTAGAAATTTCACTAATTGAAATCATGAGTCAATTGAAGCTAGACCACCATGGAAAATCTGGAAGCACTGGACGGTCGTTTCGTCCTGAATACAATGGTGTACGGTGGCGCATTTTCGTGGATTAGTTGAAGTTAGACATTAACACCGTTGGATGCCGGCTCAGTGGTCTAGTGGTTAAGTGCTCGCGTGCAAGACCGATAGGTTCAGGGTTCGAATTTCGCGGGGGGGGGAGTGTGGATGCGCACTGCTGAGGAGTCCCGAAATAGGACGAAACGGCCGCCCTGTGTTTCCAGGTTTTCCATGGTGGTCTAACAACAATCGATTTATGATTTGAATTAGTGAAATTTCTGAATATATGGATAAAAACATAATAAATTTCAAGTGTATTACAGAAATATATTCAACGAATTACATCATACTGTATATAATGAACAATGAATATTCTATTCAATATATTTGCTAATACTTTATAGTTTGTGATATATTTAAATTTTATAATACTATGCACATCTCTTTAGAAATTCTACTTATAAAGGAATGGGATATCAATTAACTAAACATAAAAATGTACATTTAATCAGATGCTGGTATCTTTGATTTTGTATATATATATATATATATATATATATATATATATATATATATATATATATATATATATATATATATATATATACTGCAAATAAATGGTTATTCTATAGCATTTGAGATTGTCAGTTAGATTAATATAAATAACCTTATGTTCGCCCGCTTCATTCTCATGGAATTACTGCTTGTTAGGAACTGTAGATAAAACAACAAACTTTTATATTTACTTAGCTAATTTATTAATTAGACATTCAAGAATAGAACGTTATATGGCATGTAATTTTCATCACTGGTTAAATTCAGATAGTTAACTGTGAAATACAATCAGTCAGACAGCTACAACGTAGGATCAGGCACATATATACATTGGTCCAAGTTAGCACAACAAGATAAACACCAAATTCGTGGAAGTAGTTACTTCAATGATTGTAACATATAAAAGAAAGATTGTGTATAAAGATGTAGTACAGAAAGAGAGGTGTAAAGTAATTTTAGTTTCACAATGTAAGGTAACACAAGGAGTGTATACACATACGACATTGTGATCGATTCTCAGCCACCTCACCCAGAGTCCTCAACCACTGGTTACGACAGTCACGCGAACCCTTACGAAGTAATCTGCATCTACGAACGTGTTTCAGACCAGGAGTTAGTAACTTGAATGACTGATGCCACATTTTGGTTTGTCCACCTCTAGCTTTCTTCCATCCGTCTCCAACATGAGCCATCATTGAGCTGTATGGTTAATTCCTTTTAGTTTGAAACTAGTCAACAGTTAACCCTGACATGGAATCGGACATATGACATTTATTTATTTCAAGAATCACAACATCACAAATCACTTAGGATAATCACAATAACTACTCAGCATTCATTCATAGTTTTTACTTTTAAAACGATATAACTATTCATCACATGTATAAACCTCATGACTTTCTCTATCCACAATCTTGTTTGTAAATCATTTCAATTCGTGGTTTTTAAAATCGACTGCATTCAATATTTTAAAAATTTATAAAAACGGATTCAATACTAGTGTGGTGTGTGGTACTGATTTTGACAGAAATATGCAATATGTATCATCAATCGAAACTGAAATGCCTGGAGGCAGAAGATCAAAGAAAAAGAACGAGAATAAAAAGTACTGGTGTGGAATAAAAAGAACAATGAAGTTTGAGAAGATTGCTTGACATTTTGTCAATGAAGTGTTTACTGTATGGTTCTCAGAACTTACTAAGATGTTCTGAAATTTAGTATTTAAATACATTCGATTGCCCCCACTTGTGTTCTCGTTTACTATACTGGTACTTATAACAGCATAAATCTACGGCTGAATCTTGAACTTCGTACTTTTTTGATAAAACCAAACAAGTAATCAATGCATATTCGACTGTGAAGGCAGTAATGCATTCATCTACCATTAAATAATTGAGTAGACTATCAATAAGAGTTACTTATTATTTATTGTCCTTTGATATACTTAGTACACGTA